AGCGGTGAGAGGCGATATAGATGTGTATGCGGGAGTTGAGGTGCAAAAACGTACAAAAAGTGTAGCCCTTATATATTATCGTGTCCGTCTGAAACGTGCTGGTTTGCGCTATGGAGTATGTGGGGATGGCTAGGATCCTGCGATGACAGAGCCTGCACTTGCGAGCGGTCAACGGCTCTTGATATACCTCAGTATGGTAAGTTGCGGTCAATCGATGGGTTCGTCCACTTACTGAGTTGAGATCACTCCGACAGTCCTAAAAGATTCTGGTGCGGTGAAGATTGTAGTGGTGAGTGGGAGAGACGAGGAGAGACACGCATTGTAACGTGTGAAGCGTGCGGTGCAGCGCGCTTCAGCTTTGCGGTGCTTAGGCGAGAACCATACCACATATGGCAGGTGTTGTGGTTCGTGCGGTGCGTGCATTCAACGTGCATCCGCATGCTTCGTCCTCCGCCCTCTTACCCAGAGTATACTCCTGTGCTTTCAGAGCACTTGCTTATTGGAAATTCAAGTTGACTTTCCACATTCCACCAATGCTTCCGGTGGATTGGAAGACAGCTAGCTGGCTAGAGTTTAGACCGGAATTGTCAATTTTTCCACTGGCAGCGCATCCGAATCAGACTAAGTACCAAGAAGGCAACGACAGACAACGACACCCTCTTTTAAACGTTTCTTTGGCATCTCCGAGAGAGATGTAACAATGCAACAGCTTTAGATAGTTAGAGTGTCAAAAGTGGGTGTCTCCGAAACTCCAATGGCGAACCCATCGCGGCACCTCATTCAATCCTCTATCCCGTCCCAAGGTGACTGGAAGGGCTTTCCTGTGGGCCAGTGTTCACGCGGTTGATCTGACAGCCACATTTACCGTGGCTTACCAGGAAGAGCTTGGATTCTTACATCGCAGTGGCGTGGAGGCACACTTACTCAGACGCACTCCCGCCGGTCTGGGTTGCTACCGGTCGAGTCACCCAAAGATATTACGTCCCATATGTGCATAGAAGTCTTGTCTGGTCTTCGAGTCTAAGTTTTCATTTGTATTTTTGTCACGCAACGTGCTAGCGCGGCCTGACACGCCATCCCTCCTCAATGCGAGAGGGCAGTCGTTTGCTTGTATGAACAGATCCGGGAGAGAACGATAACGGCTTACGGGACATCAGCATCCAATGGGACGGGCCACAGCGCCTGAGACCTGAGACGTCGACTACGCTGTGGACGCATAATAGTACAGATAGCTTGCCTGTACTTCTGCCGCATAAGGATCACTCTGAAGCAAAACAGGGTTGGTACCGTTGTGATTGATTGGAGGAAGAGTTGGTCGTGCGAGCCGGTGGTCTGCAAGAATCTGAAGACTCGAGAGGTTCGGGACGAAGACTTGCCACTGCCAGTGACGAAGACCGCATGGTGCGCGCTTGTCAAGCTTACATATGTATGCCTTTTGCTTCCTCCCCTCATGGTGACCACCATGACTGCCGCCGTCCTGTACTAGCTTGTCGCTAGCGACGCGTTCGAAGCTGAAGAAACCAGCCTCATCCAGACCGGACTGAACTCGGCACGGCTCGAAACGAGGCGGACAGGGGTGTTTCAGGGGCTCACTTGCTAGGCTTTGCTTTGTCTTTCATCTCTCACTACCTGCACAACTAGCGATGGACAGAATGACTCGAACCGAGACATTGCGTGTACTCAAGTCTTTGCGCGTCGAGATACCTGAGGACACGAAGCTTTTGGACGAGAACCTAGAGAAACGCCTCCGCGACGCGCTCAACGCGGCCCAGCAGAAGGACCGTCTGTCTATTCCACTCAATCTCGACGCACTCTCGCCATGGCCTGTCCCGCGCGAAGGAATGCCCGACTCGACCGCAAAGCCTATGCTCGCAGCCGTCACTCGAGGTAACTTGGCTGAGGCGGCGATGAACCATGCACGGAACCAGCGCGTGCCGGAACTCTATGTCGACCCGTTCATCGACCTGCGCCAGACTGTCATGTCGATCGCGAACTTGATTGACAAGGGCATCAAGTGGTGTGTGGTTCAGGATCAGCAGCGGCAGCAGTGTGCGATAAACCTCCGAGTACGTGCTCTTCCTCTTCTTTACGCTCTTCTACATCGCCATCCCATAGTTCATCTCTATCCTCGAAGTGGACCAGAGTACGCCCGCTATCGTGGTGCTCTACCGCGCAATCGATCGCGCGACCGCCATGGAGGGCGTGCGATGGTTCCAAGCCCAGTCGGACTTGCACTCTGCTCCCTCCCTCCGCGGAGTGTTGTTCGACATCACGGCGACGCCGCTAGAGCAGAAGCTGCTCTTGATGCTCCTCAAGATGAACCGTCGCCTCATCCCCACGACCTTCAAGGTCGACCGACACGAAACCGAGACTGGCTACGACGTGTCTGTGCTCCTCCCGTTGGGTCCGCTCGACTTTGCCGCAATCACGAAGCTGAGCCACAACATGGGCTGTGCCGTCTGCGGCGAACGCGCAACGAGCCGTTGCGCTCAGTGCCAGTCAGTCTCCTACTGTGGTGCAGGTGCGTCCGTTGCTCGCCCATCTGCCTGTCCACTGACACGCTCCGCAGCCTGCCAGCGCGCAGACTGGCCCCAGCACAAGCCGGCGTGCCGACAGCTCAAGGGCGGGCGCTGGTGCACCCTTCCTGTGCACAACGGCCTCGAGGGCATGGACAACATGTACGTGGCGACCCTGAACAGGTTCAACAGCGATTTCGACGCCGCCAGCCTCGCGCGCAAGGTCGACCCCAACGCCGTGCCCCCGAACGTCTGGGGCGACAGGGTGTTCGTCGTCAAGCTCCAGGTTGGCTCGACGCCGGGTCGCTACCCGTACATGATGGTTTACGATCGCAAGCGCTCCTTCGAGGTCTTCGTGCGCAGCGAAGAGGACGTGCCGCTGTTCACCGCCTTCGTGGAGGAGATGAGGGGCGAGCGCGGCGGACATGGAGGCATCAAGATGTACCGATGGGCGAGGCGGACTGGCGATTGGGAGCTCAGCGTATGTCTCGACCGAGTACCGCCACAGACGGACACGAACTGGTGAGGCCTCAGGGTGCACGTCTGAGGTATTCTGAAGTGCGAGATTGCCGTCTTGTGCCACTCCTTCCTCGTTCAAGCTTTGTTTGTACTCCTATGTTCCTTATGAATTTGATGGTTTGCGAATGGGAACACCTTGCACAGAGACCTGTAAGACCTTGCACGACCTGGTCCTCAGGCCTCCTTTCTGTGAATGGTCAAATCGTCTGAGAAGCGGGAAGAACGTAGCGCCCGTCCCTTTGCTTCCTCCCGCCACCGGCTCGCTACAGCCTACAACATATCATACACGCGTATACCGCGTGGCCGACGACACAGCATCTGCTCTTTGTGAGAGCTATGAAAGAGCTTTGCAGCGCTATGAGATGGTCGCTCTAGACTGGAAGATTGTTTGACTTGCTGGAACTCCTCAGCCTTAATCCCTCTCATCATCTGCGCACGCGTACGCCACTGGCACTAGCCATGACCACCTTGACGCGATCAGAAACAGTCTCAATACTCAAATCTATGGGTCTGGAGCTACCCGCGGACACCAAACTCTCCGACGAGAACCTCGAGAAACGCCTCCGCGACGCGCTGAACGCGGCTCAGCAGAAGGACCGCCTGCCTGCCTCGCTCGACCTCAAATCGCTCTCCTCGTGGCCTACCTCAAAGACCGAACCCTCAGCCTCGAAGAGGAAACCACTGCTGGACGCGGTCCAGAGAGGAAACCTTGGCGAGGCGGCGCACAACTATGTGCGGAAGAGCAGGGTCCCCGAGCTCTATGTCGATCCTTTCATGGACCTGCGCCAGACGATCATGGGCTTGGCGCACTTCATCGACCAGGGAGTTACGAGGTGCGTCATTCAGGACCAGGAGAAGGAGAACTATGCGATTAACGTTCGGGTGCGTCGTCCTGAAGTTCGCATCGTCCTGGTGCGCCTTACACTAATTTCCACCACCACTCCTAGGTCATTTCCGTGCTCGAGGCGGACGAGAAGACACCCGCTATCGTAGTGCTGTATCGCGCATTCGACAAGTCGACCGCCATGGAAGGCGCGGCGTGGTTGTGTCTGCAGTCGGAACCTGACTCGTCCCCCGTCCCGAGTGGCTCGATCGTCAACATCACCGCAACGCCACTCGAGCAGAAGCTCCTGCTGAAGCTCCTCAAATTGAACCAGCACTTCGTCCCCTCGGGCTTTGACGTCAAAAGGCACGAGACCGAGCACGGCTTCCGCTTTTCGGTGTTGTTCCCTATCGGCCCGCTCGACTTCGCAGCGCGCACGAGGCTCAGCCACAACATGGGCTGTGGGGTCTGTGGTCGGAGGGCGACGAGTCGCTGCGCACAGTGCCAATTCGTCTCGTACTGCAGCGCAGGTGAGCCATCGTGATTCCACTCCCTTACCCACCAGTCTTATCGTTCCCTCGTGTACTACAGAATGCCAACGCGCGGACTGGTCCAAGCACAAAACAGCCTGCAGGCAGCTCAAAGGCGGCAGCTGGTGCCCCATCCGCATCCGCCCGGGCCTCCCAGGGATGGAGAACGCTCACCTCATGCTGCTGAACCGGTACACGCGCGACGCCGCCGACGTCGCAGAGCGCGCACACAAGGTCGACGCAAACGATCCGCCGCCGAATGTCTGGGGCGAACGGGCCTTCATCATCAAGCTCCAGCTCAACCTCGTGTCTGACCGCCCCGACGAGCCGCCGAACATGATGATATACGACCGCAAACGCTCGTTCCAGGTCTTCCTGCTTTGCGAGGACGACCCAGACGCGTTCTTCGCGGTCCTGCAGGAGATGGCGGCCCCGCGTGGGGGGTACCGGGGCATGAAGATGTATCGGTGGGCGAGGCGGACGGGAGAGTGGGCGTTGAGTGTGTGCCTTGACCGAGTCCCTCCGGTCGCGGATACGAACTGGTGAACTCGAGCGTTGTGTCGCTACGTTTATATCGATCGAACCCCTAGTGCTCTCAAAAAAAATGCCAACAGGCACTACCAGGGATCGAACCTGCTAATAAGAATCCCAAGTGATAGCCACTACACTATAGTGCCACGTACACACTTCCCAAATGTTGATTCATCGTTTAGCGCTGTCCGCCGGGCCAACTTAGAAGTGCAGCAAGCATTTCAGACTTGTTTCAGACGTCTTTTTAGCTACGACCTTCAACAGAGCCTGAGATGGAGGGGTGTATCAAGACAACTGGCATGCTACGTCGATTTGGCGACATTGGCAGGTTTAGAGCAAACCCACGGGCTTGCACAATGCAAAGTATGTCCGCGATGGACGAGGGTGCACTCCGAGTGCACCGTGACGGCCGCACAATTCACAACCAAGTATATTGCCATTATCTTCATTCTCCGAGAGAAGACACGGGAGGCTGACAGTCGTCAAGAAAATGGTAGGCAAACACGATTCTATGCTCTGTCCAGCGCAGCAAACTCGGCCGTAAACTCCTCCATAGCATCCAAAGTTTCCGCCAGATGCACGAACCCAAGGGCTCCCCACGACTGTGCGCGAGCGACTTCGCAGTGCGACACGCGTTCTTGATCTGCCGGCCGTTGATCTCGCGCTTCGCAAGCTCCTGGACCTGGGCCTCCCCGACGTCGCTGTCCGAGACCCCTGCCTTGCGGAGGAACGCACGCCAGACCTGCTCCTTAGCGGACGTGGTGAGCTCGCCGAAGTGCAAGGCGACATGGATACGGGAGAGGAAGGCCTCGTCGAATGCCGTGATACGGTTGGTGGTGAGAAAGAGGATACCGCGGTAGTACTCGACGTGACGCAGGCTGAACAGAGAAGGCGTTAGCACAGCGACAGTGGGACAATGGGCAGGAAGATCGGACATACAAGACTGCGACCATGGCGTTGCGCTCCAGGTCGTGAAGTGAACGACGCTCGAGGAAGACATCAGCCTGAGGTGTAGCTCTATCATCACGTATGCGGTATGGACGGACGATCGCTCTTACCTCGTCAATGAGGACGATAGCTTTCCAGCTCGTAGCGATGTCGAAGACACGCTCGAGGGCGAGGTCCAATTCAGACGCCCTCGTGCCCAGATCGCCACCACCGACAACATACAACGGACGGTGGACGTGCTCGCTGGTCGCCTCCGCTGAGAGCGTCTTGCCGACACCCGGGGGTCCGAAGAGGTTGATGATGAGACCTTGCCCCTTGCCCTGCACGAAGTCGTCGAATCCGAGATCGGTGTTGTGGGCGTCGACGAGCGAACGAAGGAGGTTCTTCCGGTCGGCGGCGAGCACGAGGCCTTGGAATGCCTCCTCGTTCCACACAATGGGCTTAATGTTCTCCACGTTGAACTCAACTGTGACCAGACTCTGTTATCAGCAAGTCGGAGACGACACCATTTGACAAAGACGCACGCCAGATCTTGTCGGAGAGACTGAACCCATAGACGATCGGCGAAGCGAGTATCAGTTCTTCGTCCGTGAGCGTTACCTCGTCCACCGGGGCTTTGCGCTTGCTGCCAACGTCGAGTGTAGGCACGTTGTCAGTCGTATCTTGGGTGTTCCTAAGAGGAGGCATACCGGCTGCAATGAAGCAGGATGTGAGAAGAGCATCGTGGAACCAACGCGGTGAATGGACCACTCACGGTTTCCCCGGTGTGACCGCCAAGGCTCTTCTGGGTGGTTTTGCTGGTTGCTGGCGTTGCTCGGGACTGGCATCTCATAGTTCGGATTCAACCTGATGAAGTTTCCTTTCGACGCCTGCTGTCAATAGGTTACACAATGATGCAGCAGTGGACTGACCTCTGTCGATCATGATCCGGGAGTTCACCTGCAGCAGCCGGAATGCATCAGTGCATAAGACAAGGGCGCATGAGAACCACGCAGGCGCACGTTGTACTTGACGATCTTCTTGCGTCCATTAGCAGATATAGAGAACGCCGCAGTGCCCTCGTAGTGGACATGATGAATGCCCTTCAGCGACGCCCACTTGCGCCCCCGCTCCAGGAGGAGGGCCTTCATCGCCTCAGGATCCGCGTGGTATTCGATGGGGTATACCTCCAACGCATTGATCTTCTCCGTGCCCTTGAACGACCCCAGTACAATCCTGCTCTGCACGCGCCCGATAGACCTGCCGCCGACAGTCGCAGCCGGGTTATCATCACCCGTTACGGCCGATGAACGCGCCTGAGCCCTCAGTGCAGCGAGGCGGTCCCGCCCAGTCGAGCCGGTGTTGAGGTTGTGAGCCGTGGCTACATTCGAGTTTGAGTTGGGGTTCGTCACAGACTCGTTGCGCCCCGGGTACGCGCCCTCCTCCGTCGAGTCGATGTTCTCGCAGAGGAGAATGTACAGCGAGCACAAGCTGTTCTCAACCTTGTTAAGAGAGAGAAGCTGCAGCGCGCGGGGTTCGCCGGTGACAGGACACTCCGTGACGAGGATGGTGCGGGGGACGAGGATACCGTAGAGCAGGTCAAACGTGATCTCGCCGCTCGCTTTGAGACTTGCAATCTTGGCGAGCGTCGAGCGATAGTCTTTGCGGAGGTAGTCCAAGAGTACTGTCAGTGTCGCAAGGACGTGTTCCTCCTCGGGCGTGCGCCCCTTGCTGCGGAGCGCCTTCTCGTACTCTTCGAACTGGGGGAAGAACGCGAGTAGGAGATGCGGGTCCAGCTGCACGACGGATTGTCAGCCCATCGCTTCACCCGGTGAGCATCACGCGAAGCGCACCTCAAGCGGTTCAGCAGTCCAGGAGATCCCAGGGACAGTCCCCACGACATCCTTGCACGCCTTGAGCAAGCACGGGCTCTTCACGACAATCTGGAACGTGATATCTCCCCCGGGGCCTGGCTTGTCTGCGTTCCGGGGGTCGGGGAGCTTGCGCACGACGACGAAGCAGAAGTTCTGCCAGGGGTCGTTGTCCGTGCCGTTGCCAACAGGGCGCACGGCCTCTGCGACGACGCTCAAGCCCGTGTTCCTGTACTTCCAGCCTTTGGACCAGGTGCTCCAGAAGTGGTCGACGCGCTTGATCTTTAGGTTCGGGGAGGGAAGCGGAGCTTGGGATTGTGTAGCGTCGGAGTCGCGATCCTCTTTCTCGCGATCGCCGCCGTTGAGGAGTGTGGTCTTTTGTGAGTCCTTACGAGAAGGGCGCATCTGGATAAAGCGGAGTGGCATGGTGGCGAACGGGGGACCTGAGTGCCCCGAGCGATATGATATCTGGCCACTTGCGAGCAGACATACATATATCCTGCGAACAGCTGCGTGGAAGCCTGGGAGATGCGGTAAGCGCGGAACATAGGTGAGTTCGAGGGTTCGTATATGCTATCACTCACAGCCTCGCGATGTCCTAGGATCTTGTCTGAATTTGCATTGCATGGCAGTCCACGAAGCCGCAAGCAGTGAGTCACCGCCATCATCGCTCGATTAATGCGGCGAGGTCTTTCTGCAAAGACTTCTGTTGCTTGTTCATTGAGCACAGGTATACGCGCAGCTTGCCATCTAGGAACTGCAACCGTTGACACCGTGAGCGCGTCAGTCTCGGTTGGAAAGTGGATACCAGTTCAACAGAACCTACTCTCTCGAAAGAGACACCCCGCAACCAGTACATGTACAGCCCAGTCTGTTATGAGAGGCAGCCGCGATGCTAGGTCACATTTGACATACGATGGAGCTGTGAGCTTCGAATTTCGTCCACGTTATGTAGCACGTTCTTGTCATCCGAAGCATCGTCTTGATCCTCCATTTGTCCCAGGAGTCGCATAGAAAAGCGGGTTGCCCACAGACTCAGAGTCAGGGGGCCGTTCGGAGGTGAATAAATTAGCTATAGTCAGTGGGTGGAAGGAAGCTAAAGGAGAGAGTTGAATCAGAACTTGAAGTTGAACGATTCAACGAATTCGAAGGCGGGGTTACCCCGTGGGAATGGTGAGCTGCTCACCAGGTCGCGGCCCACAGCTTGAACTTGAACTTACTTCATTGCCATCTGCGACATAGTCTTCCCGTGCTCTTCTCACTTCCTGCCTTGCAGTGTTGGAATCTGGCCTGGGACTGCTCAATCTAAGCTCTTCGAACCGAGACAGCGAGAAGAGTGACCTTCTACTCAGAAAGTCCAATAATGCCACTTGAGGATACCCAGGCCTCCGGCAACAAGTGTGCTGACTTTGCACCGACCATTGGCAGCTAGTTGGTGAGGATTTATTTGACTTTGCTTGGACTTTCCTGAGCGTTCTCTGCTGCAGCCTTCTGACGCCGTCGACAGTTCTCATACCCACCCTCATTTCCCAGCTCACACCAGTCGGATCTAATTGTCGTGAGGACATCGACGTCGCCCAAGTGACTCACGAATGTGTCGCGAACCCCTCCAGACCTTCCATATGACCTTGCCGCGTCCGATTGCGAGCCCGGGCTCCTAGAAGCCAGAGAAGAGATACCAGGTCACGATGACCGCTCAACTAGGGAGGAGAGCGGATCTATGCATAGCAAGAGGGACGCCCCAGATTAGAGCTGTATGTACCATCGCTGCTCCAGAGGCGGAGACTAACCATTGACATCATCGTCGCCTTCGCTGTTCACTTTACCTAGGATCAGCGTTCACGAGTCTAGTCCCACACCTTTGTACAGAAAGGGTTTGAGACGTCTCTTTCCCAGATACGAAGCAATGAACGTCGCTCATCTTCGTGGCGCGCGAGTTTTCTGGTACGGAACTATCTCCCCCGCAGCATGGCAGTGACATCACGAGCTCGATGTGAGATCGCTCGGCCGAGTTTACTATCAGTTGCCCTTGTTCTCAGCTACAAGGACGGTATAGACCGGCTACTCGCCGTCCCTCGAGCACTAACGCCCGATATACACATCGATCGACACGTGTTGTCCACGCCGGGAAGGAGCGCGGAAAACACGCCTCTGCAACGCCTACAAGGCTCACCACACCATATCGCGGCGTGAGTTCGCACAAGGAAGCTGGCGATCTCTGCCTTTCTTCATCTACATCTACCGGTTCGCGATGTCCACGCCGCGCCTCCTCCCTGCCATTCATGCCTTCACCCGTGCTGTCCTCTCCCCGCTCTAGCTTGCTGTCCGCCACCGTCTGCCCCAACCTG